GAGTATACCGAAATACCCGTTTCCCGTTGCCCACCTCTAATGAAGAATTGTATGTACATCGTGATCGTTCCAAACATCCACTGAACGATGGTGGGTTGGTCATACGACACGGTTGGATCACTAGTCCTTGATCAACATAACATCGTTGGTTGCATATATCTACATCGTCCCCAACCTACGAGAGAATGACAACAAGGTTAGTACATAGATTAATTAAACAGGTTATAAGAACAACAAAAATTGGTAAATGAGTACGTACCGCTTGAATTCATCATAATAAAATCCCTTTTCTTGGAACCACTCGTCCATTTTTTCGCGAAAGTCACAGAGATTCAATGGGTTTTGAAAGAAAAACCAAAGAAATGTTTTCTGATGGCAGATCGGACTTAGCTGCAACCAACAGACCACTATTCCTAAGCTTTTTGAGGGAGGGGATGGATAGAGAGGTAATTTTAGAGAGAGAAGAATGGGTTGTGGTGTGAATAAATGGAGAGGGGGTAGGGGTTTTTATAGCACTCAGACCGCACCGTATAGGGGCGGTTTAGTAATTTCACCCTCACCAAAACCGCATCTCAAGGGCGCGGTTCACGCAACCCAAGGAGCAAACTGTTCCCCTTACGCAGTTCTGGATCCCTGACGCGGATCGCAGTGCTAGCGCGCGATCGACCTTTCCATCGCCGCATAATCCAACGGGCCTTGGGACCGCGTGCGTGTTGACCGCATTTTCCCCACGCGGTTTTTGGGCTGCCCTATCAAGAACCGCATCGTACCCATGCGGTTTCCTTGTAAACTGGCGCTCTGTCGTGCGAGTTTTAAAATTTTTTGCTATTTTTGGAATTTGTGTGGGTGGGTGCTATTTTTGTAATTTTTTTAAAATGGTGCTATTTTTGGAAAAAAACCCCTCTATGTCGCCAAAGTAGGGAAACATATCAACCTCTGTTACAGGTGAGCTCTGATGAACTAATTTGATTTGCATGCACCGTAGGGGTGGGCATTCGGTCGGTTCGATTTTGACCGAACCAAAATTATGAATACTGGGTCCCCGAATTCTCCCAAATCTCAAACTGAATTCGAAACCGAATTATAATTCGGTTCGGTCAGTTTAAACAGAATTATAGTTTGGTTCTGTTCGGTTTTGCATACAAAATCGAATTTGAGAGGCTACTTGTATCTTCTCAATTTTACATTATTTTTCACCCCTAATATAAACAATAAATATGCAATTATATGCATCATCAATGATAAAATCAAACTTTTCAACAAATAAGTCATAAATATTTCAAATATTTAAGTATAAAAACAACTACAAACATAAAAAAATCACCATTTAGAGCTTCCAATTATAGTATTTCGGTTTTTCGATCGGAATTTCAGAATTTCGGTTCGGTTGAAAGAACCTTTGTTTCCGAAATATCCATATTTTTCTTCCGAATTCCGAACGAATAGCATTATTTCGATTTCGGTTCGGTTCGGGTTTACCGCACCGATTGCCCCCCCTAATGGACCGGTTGGTTTCACTTTGCTTAGTTTGGTGTGAATAGTGTAGAAAATATGTTGATATTGATTTTATTAGATTGGTAAATTTATAGACAAGGTTTGTTCACAAAAATATTCCAAAAACTAATGTTTAGTAGGAGTAAAAAAGGTGTATGGATCATTGGATCAAACAATCCAATATACCGTAGCCAAGTTCGATATGAATATAGATAAAGCTAGAATTAATTAGACTAGAGCAATAAAGTGTTAAACAATCGAACTGCATAAAGAAAAGTAGAGCACACAATTTAACGTGGTTCAGTCTCTTAGAGAAACTTTACTCCATGTTGATTAGCTTGGTGTTCTGTCTTATTCAATTCACCTGCTATAAACTCTAATTAAGGGATATATTGTCGGCCATGCACAAGGCCTAACCACAAGGCGTGTGCATCTAATCATCGTCTAGTCCTCACAATATAACATATATACAATTCGGTCCCTTGACATAACGTAACTATATGTATAATATACCTTTCAATATATTCAATACCCCGTCAAACTGATGGTGCTTGGCGTAACATCAATTTTTGTGACAGAAACCTAACCAATGCCGACTCATGGAGAATGCTTTAGTAAGAAGATCTGCTGGTTACTTGTCTGTCGTAAGATACTGCAACTGAAGCCATCCATATGATACTAATCGACGAATGTAATGAATATGTAGAGCTCAACTATTCACCTCCAAACAGACCAATTGTCATCCCTTAAAAACCCAATGCACTTATGCACAGGAAGAAGGTGTAGGTATACATTATACCCATGTATAGTTTGTCCTGAGTGTGGTAGGTCTAAACTTTTATATAACGGGTTGTAATAGGTTCATATTGATTGTACTTGAGTCATGTACTCTTGATCGTATTTAATAAAAATAAAACCTACTCTTGATTAAAGAACGATACGAATCCAATCAAAATTGTCATTCACTACCTAATGATTTCGATGATAAACATACAAATTTTCTTATTCTTACTATACAACAAAATTTTGCTGGATAGGATTTAGATATATTATGTAATGTTATCAGTGATCACTTATCGGATGTTGTTAATTGTGACTTACGTGGTGCAGGTCCCTATCCCTGTCCCTGTCTCTAATTTTGATTTCTAATTAGGGAAGACGGAAGACCTGAGCGTCACTGTCAGCAAGGAGGTGGAAATTGTTAAATTCAGATTAATCATGAAAAAAACCCCTTATTAATTCGAGATACCAAAATCAATTAAATACTAGCTACGTAAATTATGTGGACATAATTATCAATCATTATTGGATTATTATAGAGTAAATATAAATAACTCCTTCACTGCCTTACTCCATCACTCTCACGGAACGGAACTAGCCCGCCAGCAGGCAGCTACAAACCCACACACACCGACCCGTATCTCTGTCTCTCTTCTCCTTCTTCCTTCAACCTTGTTCTGCTGAATCTCCAGAGAGGGGAAAGCTTTTGCCTTCTTCTCGTCCTCCCAAGATTCAAGATCCACTTTTTTCTCGGAAACCAATCGCGAGCCAACCAAAACAATCACCGGAAAAGGGACAAATTCCCTTTTCAATTCTCTAATTCTCCTCGAGGAGCTCCTCCTCGCCTCTCGAATACGTTTTGAGGTACCGTGAATTGTTCGCACTTTCTATCTCTCTCGCAATCGGATTTTCTTGGCTTGTTGATTGCTGCTTTCCCCTGTTTTCAACGCGTTCCTTTCGGCGGTTCGATGCCAATGCGAGCTACGCCCGTAGGTAGTTCGCAGTCGGAGAGGGATTTCTTCCCTTTCGGTGCTTAATCTTGTTAACGCTTGCCGTTTTCCGTCGTCTGTTTGGTTGCTGAGGAAATTTTGTCTGGTTTAACGTTTTTTCCCATCTCAAACTGGTGATTTCGATTTGGTTGCCCCTCTCTCTTTAGCTCCATAGAACTTTCCACTCCACTCACTTTGTCTCAGCGACCAAACACGAGTGAAGTGATTTGGGAGAAGGCAGAATTCTTTATGTAAAGCTCTCGTACTCTGTTATTGAGCATTTGAGTGTGTGAAGAGACGTACTTTGAATTTCGACTTCAGAACTTGTTTATCTGATATAAAACTACTTGTAGCTCAATCATTTCTCATTTGAGAAGTGAATCAATTCAAACCTACTCTTAAGGTTTTCAATCTTTTTCAGCTTAGTTCATACGGCAGAGATTGCTCCCTGACCACCTGTTGGGTCAAATTTGAGCTGTAATTCCTGAAAGTAACTTGAGGGGGGGCTGTTTGTGGGGAGAGTCTTATAAAGGTTAAACGGGCAAATCACGCAGCCTGAAACATGTTTAGGTTGACGCCTTGAAGGTGAAGAGTAGTGTAAAAAAAGCAAAACTTTAGCTACTTTCTTGGATTTTACTTCCAGTGGAATATCTATCTTTTTCTATGTCCTTTGTTTGGGTCAACTGCCCTTTTCTGTTAATCTCTGAAACATGACTCTGTTGACCTTAAAGTTTACAACTTGAACTTGTGGTTATACTAACTCTCTCATAAGATTATTTATATTTCATAGGCTGCATAAACATGAGCTGATGGAAATAGCTTAGTTTGCTGTAGGTAGCAGGTTATGGCATGATTATGGGTGTTCTAATATAGTGCAAGTTCTGATTGTGTGATACGCCGATACGCTGTTCTTTCTACTTGTTGATTTCTTCCCTACTGTAGCTATGAGCTTGATAGTGGGAACTATTTTCTTCCTTTTGGTATACCCGAATGCGCTGCGACTAAAAGTAGGCATATTTGTATCAAGCATCTTAAACCAGAGGAAAACTGAGAAGTGTTTGTGTGTGTAAAGTATTTTGCAAAAATCGGCTGTGCCACAAGATTGAGGGAGATGTTTCACTGATTATCAATCTGGTTCTCTGTTTCACAAGAACAGAGTTTCATTCTGTTATTACAAAGCAAGCTGTGGCACTGTTATCATTGCTGTCTTTCTCTTACTCAGGTCTTTGTAACCTTTTCTTGTCGGAGAAGATGGTTGCCTTGGGAAAAAGCTAAAGGAAAGGCAAATTCAAGAATGGCAAGGGTACGTTGCAGTCACATACTGTCACATTAATGCAGTTTGTTTGGTTGCAATGAACTTAACGAGAAATTATATACCAGAAATTTCTCGTTCTAGTGTAAAAAAATGAAGGAGTCGTCTCTTTCTTTTGATGACTTTGATATCTGTAGTCACTCTCTTTTATGGAAACAGTTTGCAAGAGCGATGGTATAATTCTGTTATGTCCTTAAAATTTTTGTCATCTATTTATTGAACTTGTAAGGTTTCCAATTTATTTCTCATTGAAATTCACAAGGAAGTACCATTTACTTTGTCTTTACAGTTTCCTTATGGTATTTGTTTTTTCCTGTTCAGATACTATATCAACTACAAATTGATGAAAAAGAGTGAAACAATATGGCCACCAAATTGAAGTTGGAACACTAGATCGGCGCCATGTTCTCAAGGACTTCTCGAGAATGCTTGATTGTCAGGTACTTATTAATGCATGAGAGTCTGATTATGCTTTTTGTAATTGGCTATCTCTAGAAAATTTAGATCACGTATTCACTGATCTACCAATTACTTCAGATTGAAAAGATAGTCCTGTTTCTGTTGGAGCAACAAGGGCTACTTGCAGGAAGGATAGCCAAGCTTAACGAAGATCAGGATGCTCTACAACAAGAGCCAGATATAGCGAAGCTATCCCAGTTGCGGGAAAATTATAGGGATGTCGGGAGGGACCTTTTGAAGCTTCTTTTCTTTGTTGAAATAAATGCTGTGGGCCTGCGTAAGATCCTGAAGAAGTTTGATAAACGTTTCGGTTATCGATTCACCGATTACTATGTGAAGACTCGAGCTAATCATCCTTATTCCCAGCTTCAGCAAGTGTTCAAGCATGTGGTAAAATGCCACTCATACGCATTATCATATGATTCTGCCAGAGATTGATTACAGATCCCAAAGTGGGACTGTCCTTCCCTCCAAGTCTTGTTTAACTTATTACTGGAAGTGCAGGGTCTTGGGGCAGTTGTTGGAGCCATATCCCGCAATCTTCATGAACTTCAGGAGCATCAAGGAAGTTTCTTATCCATTTATGATCAATCTGTGCTTCCGCTTGAGGTTATTGTTTGCTCCTTTCTGTTTAAGTTTTGAGTTTGTGATATCAAGTTGTGACAGCACTCATATGGCCAAAGACTGATAGTAAACATATCTCGTAACAGGACTCTGTTGTTGATGCAATGAAAGCGGCAGTTGACGGTTAAGCCACTCAACCAACTTCTTGAACTTCTTGGCACAACATGCACTTATTATGCAAGAGGAGCTTCCAACTCCCATTGAGGAGAGCATTGATGATAAGAGATACCATTTTATGTCTCTTATCCTGAATCTGGCAAACACATTCCTTTATATGATAAACACCTATATTATAGTACCCACAGCAGATGACTACTCCATGAGCCTTGGTGCACCGGCAACAGTTTGTGGTATTGTGATTGGATCAATGGCTGTTGCTCAAGTCTTCTCTTCAGTATACTTCAGTGCATGGTCCAATAGATCATACTTCAGGCCTCTTGTGTTCAGCAGCATCGCTCTTCTGATCGGAAATGTCATGTATGCAATGGCTTATGATTTCAAGTCAATCACAATACTTCTGTTAGGCCGGCTTTTCTGTGGGTAAGTAATTATTCAACTCCTGAATTAATATCTGCTTATTGTGTACCAAGAAAAAAAAATCAGGTCTATTCTCCTACTGTTTTTTTATTTATTTTTGTAATTGTTAAACTATCAGTAAGTTAATATGGCTCAGAGGGCTCTGAAGCAAAAAGGTTGGCAACTGCAATATGATATTATGAAGTCACTTAAATCTCATTAGTGGACTGATGTTAGCGCGCCAACTGGTTCATTATTGCTTTGATGTTAAAGTAAATTACTCCTTGTACTGCAGGTTGGGTTCTGCTAGAGCTGTGAACCGGCGTTATATCAGTGATTGTGTTCCACTTAAGCTACGTATGCAAGCTTCAGCAGGTTTTGTTAGTGCAAGTGCTCTCGGGATGGCCTGTGGCCCGGCTCTTGCTGGCTTACTTCAAACGGAGTTTAAAATTTACAAGTTCACATTCAATCAGAACACTTTACCAGGCTGGGTTATGGCTGTGGGTTGGTTCTTTTATATGATATGGCTGTGCATCTCATTTAGAGAGCCTTTTCGCCCGACACAAGATACCAATGTAGCTCCACAAACCAGTGATGGTAAACTTCTCCCCATTCCATGTATTGCATACATAATGTCATGTTTGTTTCATCTCAATCAATAATAATCTACTGCCTGCCATTGCTTGGGTCTGTTATCTTGGTAGAAGGCCACTACTTGTTTTCTGCATCTCTTACAGATAAAAAAGCTTATAACCAATGTTACACAACTCTGTAAGTTCAGATTGTGAGTCTAAATTATTAATTAAACATGGTGTACCTAGAAGCTTGTGTGAGGGAACTTCATGCTTAAAGAAACTTTGTGGAAGGATAAGTTATATGATATGATTTTCTATATATCCATAACTTGATAATTGAACTTGCTTTTTACAGTGAGTCTATTTGTCATAAGATATTCCATTTTAATTTAAATTTCAACTAATTCTAGTTCTTAAATTCTAGTCTATTGTTATATTAGATGGATTTTTAAATGAAAATGCAAAAGGAAAATGATGACAGTTATGCCTTTTACTACACCAGGCATAAATTCTGCCAAACCATTTGGTTTAGCTTCAGCTTAAGTAACTCATAAGTTGGTATAGATAGCCCCATATTTGGTTTAGCTTCAGCTTAAGTCACTCATAAGTGGGATAGACATCCCATTATGCTTATACTCTGGTCCTTAGACTCTGCATGAGATTTACAGTTCAGTTGCTCAATCACCCGAATACTCGCTCTTCGATAATAATTTTGGTCTCGTGTTGAAAGCAGAACCAACGAGAAATGATGCTCTTGAGAAAGGTCTTCAGCAGCCATTGCTACCAAGTACAGAAGCCAATCAAGATGATGAAGATTGTGGGAGTGATGATGAATCTGAGGGATCCAGAGGACCAGCTAACTCACTTCGCTCTGCTTATAGGCTATTGACACCTTCTGTAAAGGTAAGATGAAGATGTATCTCTATACTTTATGAAACGTACAAGTGTTTTTGAAAAACTTTATTTTTTACCATTTGATAACTCTCTTGCCTGAATTGCAAAAACAGGTTCAGTTGTTAATATATTTCATGCTCAAGTACGCCATGGAGATTTTATTATCAGAGTCTAGTGTCGTCACAACGTACTACTTCGGTTGGTCTACTAGCTCAGTGGCAATATTTCTCGCCTGCTTAGGCCTCACTGTCCTTCCAGTGAATATCATTGTTGGAAGCTATATCAGTAACATGTTTGAAGATAGGTATAAGCCCATTATCTCTTCTGTCTTCCGGGATTCAATTCTCTCTTGGTAGCAGCTCGAAATCATCATACTGATTACCATTTCTTCGTCGTTGATCTCATTGGCAGGCAAATCTTACTAGCATCAGAAATCATGGTCTGTGTAGGCATACTCCTAAGCTTCCACATCTTAGTTCCATACACCGTGCCACAATACGTGTGCTCAGGACTCATTATGTTTGTCTCGGCCGAAGTACTAGAAGGTAAAGTATTCTACTCCCTTGCAATGCGAATTCAGTACTGTCATTATGAATTGAGCTTACTTGGTAACTTACTGCATACCTACTTCCAGGCGTCAACTTATCGTTGCTCTCGCGAGTCATGTCATCGAGGCTCTCACAGGGAACATACAACGGTGGACTACTCTCGACGGAGGCAGGTACCTTAGCTCGTGTGGTGGCAGATGTAACAATCACAATGGCGGGGTACTTGGGGCAGAAAACGCTGTTGAATGTGACTCTTCTACCTTCCCTTGTCATTTGCATAACCTCCATCCTCGCCACATGCTTCACCTACAACTCGCTATATTGATTCTGTAGACTTATATCTATCACATTAGTAAAGCGAAGCAGCCAAATTTTGGCGTTTCTTCGCTTATAGCTATGTGATTAGGTAGTCTTCTTCTCCTTCTTATTCTTCTGTGTCGGATCAGTTCTCCTGTATATTTGGTAGAAACCCAGCTCCATTAAATTCTCCATTGTTCTTAATAAAAATGTAGACGCACACCACACCAACCTAGCTAGCCTAGCAGCATGTCCATTAAAGCGTCTGAGAACTGAGCCAGCTGCTTGCTGCCTCTAGCATAAGTAGATGGATTTATTTACTGTGAATTTGTTTTCTTCAGAATTCCTCAACAATCATATCCTTGCCCTTGGCCCCCAATGCTTCAATGCATATCATCTCCACTCCATGGTTACAAATAATTTGCGATTTTTTACTGCTCCTTCGCTGGTTCCCAGAGGTTCGTGTCATAATTTACCGCATGTGGATGGTCATAAATAACTAGATACGAAGCAAACAAGAAACGAGATCCGCACGCCGTAAATTTTGACACGAAACTAGAAACCAACGATACCACTTTAAATTTGGAGACAAAGGGAGGTGCAGACTTGGTTATACCTTGACCAGTTTGATGAGGGGATTAGTATCTATTACTATGTCTCTTAGATAGGAAGAGTGTCCCTCTAAGCAATCCTAACACTCACCATATATCCATCCACCTCCCTTTCTTTACAACTTCCAACCAATCTTCCCTTCAACTTAGGGACATGGGAAACGAGAACAAACCCATATAATCAACATGAACAAATTTTTAGGCTAGTTTGCTTCCTCTGCCTATTCTCCTCCTAATCATCTTGTTTGAAGTTTAGTCTCAAAAAGAAGAATGAAACGAAAGTTAACAACATTTATAAGTGTTTCACCCGTACCATACCGGTGGTTTGACCATAAAAATCTTATATCGGAGACTAAATCGATAGACGGTTTTAACAGGATGAAACGATCGAACCACGGTTCCAGTATAAAATACCCTATTGCTGACTTTTCTCCTACAACCTCCTGCATGATTTCGCAATGCATATCTACAAACAAATTTTTGTTTGGACCCATTTCCCCAATCATTTTTAAGCAAGGTTGTCAACCCGCTGGCTGACCTGGACCCGGTCGAGCTAGTGGGTCCAGGGTTAATGGGTCAACCGTTTTAGCCCGGTTTGGCCCGAAAATATGAAAAGAGTCATTATATTGTACTTATCCTGATAAATTATATCAAATCTTATCTAACATATGAGTTATAATATATAATATGACACCAAAATAACATATCGTACTTAGATCCAACATATAGTGAAAATTCACACACACTTATATAACATCAATATTCAAATGTTCAACTTACGATTCCAAAGATTGAGTTAGGCGAAAACAAAAATAGAAAAATAGGCGCATTTCGCAAACTAAAGAAAAAAATGACATAATTTGACCTCAAACCCGATACCTTGTAGCAGTCGACCCGACTGGTGCGTGCGGCCCATTTTTCTCACCGGGTCAGGTCAAAATCGGTCGACCCACGGTTGACAACCTTGTTGATATAGTTCAAGTCTGCCCATCTGGTTTTCCAATTTCGCTCCCTCTTTCCTGCCCAAAACTCAATGAAGTTCAAAGCAAAAACACCACATGAAATATAGTCGTTTTGTCTGAATCCAAGATCGAAATTCCAAGGGAACTCTTCAAAGTTGTATATCCTGTTAACCTCCCACCCAACGAAAGCCTGGACATATTTCACCAACTCCCTTCCTATGGTCTGATAGCGTGAATCATCCCAATCATGTCGCAGACTATTCATGAATTGAAACTCCTTGTGCAGTAAATCAATGCAGTACACGACATAGTGATTGCCAACACAGAGGGGAAAGAACCACTGCACGACAAGTGAATACATAACATGTTAATAATATTCATTCATTTGTTAATAACAAGCGTGGTATATATTAAAAATCAAAGTTACTAATAGCTATTAATAACTCATCTTTTGTACGTTGTTACTAATAACTATTAATAATGGCGATTAATTTGTTAATAATGGCGGATAACTTGTTAATAATAGTCGAAAACCATATTAATAACTGTTGATGCCACAATACTCTCTCTCTTCCACGTGCCTCCACCACGATTCCACGCCGAGCGCTTGAACCCTGCAGGACGGGCGCCTAGAGGGCTAGACCCGTCCGTTAGCACTTGACACGCTAAAACACAACACCTAACAATGGCCAAGTGTAACCACTGAAAGGGACTGCAGTATAGGCAAGTTTAATTATCAACCCGGGGTCTAGATCTACTGCTTACTCCGTGATTCTCTATTATCTAGCAAACTAAGTCGAGTGATTGTTGTGAAAAGTAAAAGCAACAAAAAAGCAGTAAATTGTTCGGGTTTCTAAAGCAGGCAAGAGTCACTCGGGATTGAGTCCCCCTAGCCCCTTAGTTAGGTTTAATTGCAATTCCCTGGGTTGATTTACTGTTGATTAGACTGCGGAAGATCCGACAGTAGCTTGGAATCTCTTAAGCTGACCAAGCCCTCTCAGTCTAACTACCCGGCAGACGACTAGCCTTCACCGGGATAGAAAGCTGAGGCTATGAACACAGAACTCCACTACTGGCGCCAAGAACACCAGTACAAAGCAGTAAACTGGCTAACTCTCTCGTATAGCCAATCTCCTACTATCGAATGAAGAGGCTCTAACAACCTAATCAGATTCTATCTATCTCAGGTTGCAGCAGAAATTGAGACAAGCTGATCAGACTCAAATCAATTCAATAAACATGCATCATTCGATTAAAATCAAACAGTAATATCATCCCAAGTCATTACAATCAAATCCCTAACACAAGGAACTAGGGTTCTTCATACCCAAGTGAGAGAAGGGTTCTACTCCATAGAGAGAGAAGAGAAAACAAGAATCGGATTAGTCATACTCATAACGATGAGGATAATCTGCTCCGGGACGATGATTTCCACTCCTATGACGATCTCCAAGCTTGATTCGATGAAATCCAGCTCTTAGACAGCTTCTAGGATGTGTTCTTCGCACTTTCTCTCTCTAGGGCTCTGTTTTTGCTCTCAAAACACGATTCTCTCACTTTTGGCTCGAATTAGGCTTTAAAACCGGTTTTCCCCGAGTTGCACGGCCAGGGTGCACGGCCGTGCACATCACCATTCTGGCCGTGCACCCTGAAACGCAACCGTTTCATTTAGTTTGAACTCAGACATCTTGCACGGCCAGGCGCACGGCCGTGCAAGCTTCAGGGTCTGCCCGTGCATGGCCTCGGCGTGAGGCGCACGGCCATATGGCTCAAGTGCACGGCCGTGCAGCCTCCCTGGTCTGCCCGTGCACTCCCCAAACAGCTCGCCATTCGTCCGGTCTTCGTCCAATCGACCCCAGACTCGCTCCTAAGCCTTCATTCACGTACTAGGACCTGAAATATCACAAACAAGCACAACCTAGCGTGAAATCGGCCTAAAACACGAGAATCAACATCTCAAACGGTGTAAGTACGGGGGTAAAAACATGTGTAAATGATGGTCTATCAAACTCCCCCACACTTAACCGTTTGCTTGTCCCCAAGCAAACCAAGTCGGACACTAGGTAAGCTTACATATTTCAATCAACCAACATTGGGGACAAGTCATAAAGGCACAGAACACGTGAATCGCACTGGTTTTCAAACATCAATACATGCACAACCTCAATAACAACCTGGACACCCACCACAAAGGACATTCGAGTGCAGCAAATCGAGTAAAGGAAGAGTCTCCCGCCTGTTCACCGGCCAACCTAGACTTGATTCAACCACTTACTCAAAACAGTCAACTCATGCATCCAACTCAAGACATCAGAATAGAGACCGAGCAATCTAGGTCCTCACCGGGGTACAAGAGCATATAGAAAATGAAAATGAATCACTTACTCTCGACCAGTGGGGTCCGGACAATTTGATGCGAAAGATGCGCATGCTATTTCTCTCAATCCCTATCATCTCTTCACCATGATGGCAGCCTCTAAATGCTAGAGTTCACATATGGGGTGTCACCACTAACTAATCAGGAGGTCTTAGACACAGGTTCAAATGACTGGCTAGGGTCTTGGACATGGGGAAAAGGCCTTTTAGGTGGTGGAAGTATTCATAGCAAAAGGTTCCACATTTTCCAAACACACAATCACAGTCAAACAAACCGATATTTTCTTTCTGCTATTCTGCATTACTCAATATCTTAAGATCACAAGAGTGAAGGTGGCATAAACATCAGCATTTCCAAGCCAGACTGCTAAGAAACACTGCTTACTGGGCATTATTCAGATTTTTAGTAGTGGCTCTCTTTTGCTTTCAATTTTTCTTGTTTTTCTTTTATTTTTCTTTTCATTTCCTAAGAGAGCCACCACTTCTGCATAAATTTCAAACACCTGCCCAACTTTTAAGCACTACCTCCAACACTCACATAGACTTTAGCAGAAACAGCAGAGAATATATAAAAACCACTCTGTGGAACCTTCTAAAAGATGCAACAAGGTGATTTTTTTCCATTATAGACCAAAAGAAAGGATAACACACGGCTCAAAGGGGCTGACTAGGGGATATGACACATCAGGACAGTCAGTTTTGGGCGTGGGCTAATCCTATGCCCCCATCATCTTAGCTAGTGACAACGTGAATGCTACACATCATGGAAGAGGGATCTATCGCACAAGAAAGAAACGAGCAGGCTCAAATCTCACATGGCTACCTATATGCTCTATCTCACATTCTGATACCCTGAACTAGATGCATAAACGACTGTCAAGAACAAGTAATCAGATCAAGTCAGATCAAGTCACAGTTGGCAAGAAAACAGTTGGAAAACTGAACCCCTACATCGTTCTACTGCACATCTCAGTCCTCATCATAGGTTGTCCTAGTCGCAAACAAGTTGTCATGCATTAATCCGAAAACCAATCAATTCATCCATCAAAACACAGTGCCAATATGATCAAACAGCAGTA